GACGATGAAGCAGTGAGTGTGCACGGTACTGTCGATGAGGGGTCAGTGTCCGGTGCAAGCCTCCGAACAACTACTGTGATCTCAATCAACACCGGTTTGTTTGAATTTCCGACACGGAAGATTGAAATTCCAGCTTTCAAATACAGCACTCGTCATTCTCCCGCTGAATTAGAGCAGCTGCTGCCGGATTACTACTGGCAAACAGACAGCCAACATGATGTGCTTTGTAGATGCGAGTGCTGCCAGCTGGTGTGGGAGTTGGATGATTTGAATTGAACTCTCACAAATGTGTTTGTAAAGGTGCCTCTGGATTTAATTAGATGAGCCTCTCCTGTGGGTGGGAGGTCTTTGTTGCGGCAACTAATTTAAAGTGTGTACAGCTTCCGTAAATTCATAATTATGTATGATCTGGCCTATAAGGTTCCAAACAGTGCCCACATCCGCTGAGTGCTTGTCAGACTGAGAGTCTATTGCGTGGAATGAGGCTTGAGTCTAGTAACTATAGTATGACCCTGCTGACAAGCATCTTCCTTTGCTGCATATTATGTTGAAGGCTTGAGTTTCTTGCCCTGATCTTGGCTCCAATCCAAGAACCTGCCACTTTGGGGTGTGGTGGCGGGACGGGTTTTCTCCAGTCATGGAGGAACTAAGCAACAGTATGGCAGCGATGTCTGCTCAGGCTAGCCAACCTTTGGTGGTTCCACTTGTTCAATACGTGTGCTATTGTGATGCCGTTCTTTGCGTCGACTGTTTACCCATGGTCGCATGACTCTTGGATGTCTCTCACATGTGCCAGGAGGCATTTGATGAGAAGCTTACACAGATGCTGCGTGATGTGCCTGAGCTCATGACCGACGAGCCGATTGCCGAGATCAAGTGGTATGATGCAGTGAATGATGTGCGCAATACGATAGCTTCTAGGTGGCTTGACATCATCCGACTCAGGTCTCTTGTGCCTTCTTCTCACTTTCAGGAGTTAGTGGACAGAATGAGGCAGAAGATCGAGACTGTCGTGGAGATCCATGGGCAAGAACTTCCTTTCTGCTTGGAGCCTGACTTGGAGTTGGACAAGGTCTCTGATAAGGATACTCCAAACGATCCAAGTGCCGCGACAACAAGTGAGCCACGGAATTCCAGCAGCAGCTCTACTGCTACGGAGCAAGTGAAGATGCTGCCACACACCTTCAAGTTCTTCCAGGTTAGTGCTGAGTGTGTGTGGTCTGTTGTTCAGGCATGGTGTTTGCAAAACCCCTGCATCGACACCCCAAGTTCTGTTTCATTGACTGACCTGCCTTGCGCCTTTCAGAAAGCAGTGTTCTAGAAAGGTAGGGGAAAAGCTAGTGTGTGCAGTGAGATGTAGAGTTCGTGATTGCCCTATAGGTTGACCAGGTTCAAGCTGTGGACGGGTATCGCAACTTCTTTTCATTTGCTGAATGGTGGCAGTTCAAGACAAAGTACACCCAATGGTTTACCAAATCCTACTCAACGACCTGCCTGAGTCTATCAGCATGGCTCGATGTCTCGCCTGGCCATGTGCCTTTGGTATGGCAATTGACGAACATTTGTTTGTGTGTTTGCACATGAGGTAAAAGGTGAATACCATTTCAAAAGGATGAGGTTTGTTTTGAAAAGCAAGGTGATGAGACGAACTGGATACAAGGGCCTAAAGAGATTAGCCTACTGTCTTCCAATTGACGGAGCATCTGCCATGGGTATTTTGCTTACGGTTGGATGTATTCTGCCTTCGAATTCGCTTGGAGCAGAAGCAGTGACAGCTTGCAGAATTCTTTTGGCAGCACTGGAGAGGCATGCCAAGGTCCGCAAGATCCAGGTACCCCTTGCTGATGGTGGCAAATTGTCACTTGAAGCCAATGACGACAATGAGTTCCTCCTGTCTGACCTGAAGTCACTGCACAAAAAAACTCGGCCTGAACTATGCCAGGCACAAGTGTGCAATTGAAGTAGGGGGGGTTCCGGGGTTCCAAATTCGGAGCGTCAGTAGTCAAACAAGCAACAACTCCACTTTCAGAGACATGATCAAGCAATGTCTTTTGAACACATTCTGCGCAGGTTTGCAGCGAAGCTGCCTCATGCTGAGCGGGTCATTGCAGTGCCTGCAAGTCATATCGTTATGGCCTTGCTGCGGTTGAGGACTTCTGGCTCAAATGAGTGCATCAATGGGGCTTTTCACCTGCTCACAAAGAGTGTCTGTCACAGCTTTGCACAGACAGCAGAGCGCTCAATAGAACAGAAGCTCCTTTCTGAGTGTCCAGATCCATGCGTTTTGGCCCGGGTTCATCCATTTATGAAGAGGGCGACAACCAGGGGAAACAAGAGCCTTCAAATGAGCTTGGTTTCCAGGTGGGTGTCTCGTGGCGGAGGATACGTGTCTTTGAAGGACACCAACCTCGAGAAATTGAACATCGTGGGTAAGCGCTCGACACTAGCAAGTCGCACAGCCGCAGAGTACACAGCAAGGATTTTGGTGAAATCCGCGGAGTGCATGGAGGAGTCGGTGGAGAAATCCAAAGTTGTGAACTTCTGCTTTGACGCTGCAAGGGTGGCCGAAGAACAGGTATCTTTGTTTATGCAACTAAGAACCTGGTATCATTGTGATTTGCGTGTCTCCTATTAAAGTCTACGACCTCCTTTTCGAGCTATTGACACTGAAGCCACCATTTCTCTGGAAAACTTATGTGCTTTTGTTTTGAGGGTCAAAAGCTAAGTGTATGAATCCTGCAGTTTCAGGTACTGAGTGTGATCTTCAGGGCGTGTGGCAAGCAGTTTGCTGGTGCAACTCAGCTTCTACCATCGGGCTTGGGTGTGGACGAGTCTGCCTGTGCTATGGAGAGGTTTGCTGAGGCAGCCAAAGTCCAAATGGGACAGACTGCAGGCCCTGTGAAGTTGCCTTGCAAGAGCTTTGACTGGCGTGAATTCCGCTTGCCAACCAAACAGTTGCTCATGGCTGTGGCGAACGCTTTGCAAGTATCGTTGCACAATGGGTTTTCCTTCAAAAGTTGCAGGCCTCGAACCCTACTAGTGCCACGTAGCCACGAGGCAGACAGGTTTGCTCTGCTGGACACAGAGAAGCAAGCGCTGGGGCTGGGCAAGTGGCCCGCAGATGCCAAGCTTTCCTTTGTGTACCACTATGGTACGCAAAGGCGGTGGCTGGACTTTATGCCCCATGATGACCAGCCATACAAACTCATTTTCAGCGCAGATGAGGGAACTGAGGACAGGGGGACACACATGCAGCAGCGTCAACAGTCACCAGCCATCACCTTCTTAGCTCCAAATTTCTGGAGTGAGTCTAGAGTCTAGACTAGAGGGCAGCAATTTGCAGTAAGGTTTGAACTACAAGAGTGTGTCAGTGATGTTTTCGCTTGGGTGTGCCCTGCCCCTGAGGGGTTCATTGGATATTTGCACTTGGCACACTGTGGGATATGGTGCAACTTCTGGCCAGATATGCTCCATAAACTGGCCAGGAAGGCGTCCATGTCGCTGGTTTCCAGTGGAGCGGATGATGTTGTGAAGAAGCTGAGACGGGTGTTCCAGCTGAGCAGAGGTCCATGGAGTACATCGAAATTCGGAAAGGAGTTGGAGGTTGCCCGTATGCAAATCCTCCGAAGTTTGAAGGAAGGCACCATGGACCACCTGGAGTTGCTCGCGACCAGCAATGTGACCCCTCAAGCTTCGGCCCTTCTGAGTTGATCAGATTGCTTGAGAAGAAGTCAGGACCGTGGATGAGCAAGGTGTTTAGTATTTTAATGTTTTCTTTTGAAATGTTGCCAGCCGCCCGCAATAAATGGCCCAGAGTTTGGTGGGTTTACAATCCTTTGAGGAAGCCTGCACGTCCGCTCAGACGACCACAATGATTCGCGATGGTTTTCTTTCTTTGACCACTCGGTGAGCTGGGACAAAGTCTGGCATGTTGAGGCGCTGGTCCACGAGTTCCTTTGGTTCTCACAAGGCAAGTCCCCGTGGCATCTGAAGCACCAGGAAAAGAAGAAGGAGGAGGATGACCAGGCGGCGTCAGACTTCAGTAGTCGCAAGCAAGCCTTCAACGCCACATGGCTGAAAGGGAGCATTGCTGAAGTAGTCTTCAAGTAGAACATGAGGTGTAGTTCTTAGGAAGAGCTGGTAACTAGAGACAAATTAATGACAGCTAGACATCTACTATTCTATATGTTTTATATAGAATATATATATATACACATGGAGAGCAAGGTGGCCCAATTGTTTTGTAGCTAAGGGTACTAAGGCTACAGTGCAACTCTTACTTGTCTACTTGTCCTTTGGAGGCCCCTTGTTGGAATTGGAAACAGGAACGTCTTTCGATGGATGCCGACCTTTGCTCCTGACTCAAGAACTGTCTGTTGAAGAATGGAGGTGTGCACATGCTGCCTGTGCAGTGCAAACAGGGGACAAAAAAACACGGTGTGGGAACGTGATGCTTTGGTTTGACATTGGGTGAGTGTTGAATTGTTGACCTAGGTGCTGGTTGATGACACGTGTCAGGATCTAATGAGAAGCATCATCCTTTGCTTTCGACACATGAGAGGCTTTGCGAGTCAGTATGACGCTCTTCTGCAAGAAACGAGAATGATACATCAACCAACTTTCCCATGACAAGTGTCCTTGGACTAAGTATCCCACCTTTAATTCTTGGGCTCCCTTGATCACAAATCTACAAAATGCTGGCGTGCAAACATCAGCTCGACCATCCTTGCAAACACTCACAAACCTAACCTGCAACCGTTTTGCACCCTCACTGACAACTTACTGTCAGTCAACCTTGTGAATCATGGGGACTCTACGTGGGGGACTTGGTATGCCATGCGTTTCTTTCCTAACAAAGTGTTAAACATCTCAGCCCAACATGCGTTGTGGTGTCAATCAATACATACCATGCTAAAGAGTGCAAAACAAAGTGTCCTTTAAACCAAGTGTCGTTGTGGCACGCTACTGTCATCTTGAATTAAGTATTGAATGTATCATTGTTCCTTTTTATTATACTTCTGGACGGCGCCAATGATTCCAGTTAAAACATGTTTTACAAGTGCTCCTGAGTGGATGAATGTCTGTCTAAGTACAGTGAGTCTTCATGGGGCTTGCTGTGCATCTTGGTCAGGACAAGGACATTCAGCGGGATGCGACAGGCAGTGTGAAGCATGCCATCAGCCTTGCGTCAGGCAAAAGAGTGCGAAAGCTGATCCAGACTCGATCTTAATTGCCTTACTTATTATCCGTTACCTTGCTTGTGGCGAATGACAGGTTCGAGCACGCTTTTAGTGTTGCTTTCTGAGGAAGACCATTTTGGAATGCGTGGAGCAAACAGCGTTGGAATACATCAACGCTGTTGGGGATGGGCCAGAGAATCAGGAAGTCATGACCTTCCATGCCAACCTTCTTCTCTTCCAGATCTCAGCTCTAAGTGAGGTCCAGTCCTACCACCGTGCGTTCCCTTGGCGTTTGGTGGAATGCTTGGATCCAGCATCCTGGGCAACTGTACTTCCTGCAATGAAGGATCTCTGGTACTTCGTCATTAACATGGCCGATTGCTTGAAACCAAATGACAAGCTCTACTGGATAGTCCAGGTGACTCGCTTCCAGCCCTTCAGAGATGTCATGATCGCTGGCGAGTTGCTTGACCCAGTGCTTCTTATGCTCATTTCCCCTGGATGTTACACTGCCAAGTGTCAGTATAGGGAGGTAGTTGTTTGTCATTAGCTGGTTCATCCCTCCTCCTTTTGCAGCACTATATAGTTTGTTTGAGGTTCATAGACTTTGACGTGCAGCGGATGGGTTCGCCTGCCAGCCGCCCCTTGCAAGAGAACATCCTTGCAATCTGCGGGCTTCAAGAGGCTGGTGCGCCCACTAGCCTTTTGAGCTCGTTGCCTTCAGAGCTTGCTTTCAACAAGCTAAGAGATGCAGCCAAAAGGCACAGCAAACAAGAGAGGTGTCAGCCCGCAGCGCTGCACTCTGTGGCTTGGAAAGCCAGTGTGAGCCATGTGTGCGGATGTGAATCCCTCGAGCTCACAGAGGAGGACTGGGCCGTCCCCATGAAAGCGTCCCAGATCAAGGTGTCGGTGCATTCCAATATGAGATCGTCTTGCTCTGACATGGGGATTTCAGTGGAAGGCCTCACGAGGCACAAGCAGGCCAACCAGTACACCAAACCTCATATTTGGACTGCTCGCTTGGAATACCTGGAGGTGCTGTCAAACGCCTTCAAAGCCGCAGAGGGCACGATTGAGGACAAGCGAGTGGCAGTGACAAAGATGCACCAACTTTCGTGGCTGTGCAAAGTCTTGCCTTGCATGTGGTTCCTCAAGCCCAAGACAGAGGAAGCGGACATTCCTCACGAGTCGTTGATCATTGTCAAAGCTGGACCATTCACCGCCCGATGTGTGAAGCTCTCTACACTTGGCGACAACTGGTACCGGCTTCAAAGCAGCGATCCTTTGCATGAAGTGATTGTGACTGACCTCGACCAGGTGACATTGGCTCAGGCCACGCCTGACATCCATGCAGGAGCTCTGGCGTGGGCCAAGACAGGTCCATGGCTCTCGATTGTGGACTTCGTTTGTGACCATGGCATTGAGAATGTTGGAGCTCAACTGCTAATTTCCCTTTGTGCGCTGCTCAAAATCCCTGGCCACAGCAAACTTGATCACAAGCACCGAGTGGAGCTCTTTCTGAAGACTTGCGGTCGATCAGAGGAGTACGTGGCGCGAGTCCTTGAGAACTTGCCGGAGCCAAGGAAAAGAACAGCAAAGGAGTCAGAGGTGCCAAAGTGTTTTCAATTGCCAATTTGTTTCAAACTATATATTTTGAACTTTTTGTGGATTGTCAGATCCCTTGAACTCGACTTGTGCATCTTCCTTTTGTTCTTGGCAGGTGGAAGAGATGGACGCAGATGACAACATGCAGGGTGAATCAGATGACGAGGCCATTTCTGTGATGAAGGCTTTTTTTGGACGAGGACCTTGGCAACAGTGGTGCAGCTGATGAGAATCCAAAGACAGCCGGTGATGTCTCTACGCCAGAGGCAACCGCTGATGTCCCTATGCCTGAGGCAAAGGATGATGCGTCGGTGAAGGCCGCCGGGTTCAGATGGGTATATATATTATATTATATTATATACACATATCATCTTATGTATAGGGACCTCATGGCAAATCCTAATAAATAGTCCCCACAAAGACAAGAAAGAGTTCCACATCAGATGAACAACACCATTAGTTTTCTGGCAGTGCAACTGATGGTCATTCCTTCTGTTTGTTTTCATGGCACGCATCTTCTCTTTGGATGAGGTAGAATTAACCTGTTCTTGTGTGCCCAGGAGCAGAGAGCAGATGTGGGCATGCCTCACGCACATGGAGTGGCGAGGGAGCATCCAAGCGGAGAGTTTCCTCCAGGGGTAGTGTGCTATCGAAAGGAACCGCAAAATGCCAATCCTCTGTTGCAAGCCTGGCTTCCAGGCAACTTCAAGCATGAAAACAAACGCAGCAAAGCTGTGTCTTTTTTTGAATGATGGTGGTGTGACATTAGTTCGGGGCACAACTAGAACCTACGCCCAAGCTGAAAGGATTTGCTTGAGCTGGGCATGGAGTTGGTGGGACACACTAAGTGTGGAACAAAAGTCCGCCATACAAACCTCAAGTTCAGAGCCTCCTTCCAAAAAGCGGAAGGTTAACTAGAAAGGATGAAACCTGAGACTCCTGGGGGGTGCAGGAAAAGGTGCGTGTGTGAAGTTGTGGGAGCCATTGCT